GTCTTTGACCTCTGGATCTTCAGAAAGAAATCTCAAAATAAATAAATAAATAAAACAAACTTCAGGAGGCACTTCTCTCCTTCCCAATGCCATCCGAGTCCTTGGTTCACAACTTGCAGTGCTCATCAAAATCCACAGGTTTTCTTCTCCCTCAGCTCTGGCTTCGAGCACAAGAGCATCTAACATGCACAAAACGCTCCAAGGCATGCATGTTTCTAAGAGACTATCATTACACTCTTACAATTCTACGAACCACATTAACTCTACCATCTTTACATTAGAATTTGTTTTAAAAAGTAAGAAATAATGCAAGATGATGTGAATTCAGATAAACACCATTGATGAAGATTCTGTGGTACCACGGGGCTCATGATTTTAAACTGACAGTTGCAAATAAAAGCATTATTCATTTTTTCTTGGTATCTGGGGGAGCAAAAATTATACAGTAGTGCAAATGTGACCAGAGTATTTGCTATCAAAACAAATATTTTAAGAAAACTAATGTAAAAAATCGTCCACATTAACATAATATTTACAAGATGCAGGTTCTTGTTCCTGTTTAAGTAGCAAAAATTTAGAAACTTGGATGATGAACTTAACATTCAGTGAAAAGTGTATTTAACATTTGGATCAAACATTTTTATTTCTACTGTATTCGTTTTAAGGATTCACTAAATAGGTTTACTGCTGAAGTGAGTGTTTAATGCGTGATTTTTTTTAAAAAGATTTATTTATTTTAATTGGAAAGTCAGACATACAGAGAAGACAAGAGACAGAGAGGAAAATTTTACATCTGATGATTCACTCTCAAGTGACCACAATGGCCAGAGCTGTGCCGATCCAGAGCCAGAAGTCCAGAGCCTCTTCCAGGTTTCCCACGCAGGCGCAGGGTCCCAAGGCTTTGGGCCGTCCTCAACTGCTTTCCAGGCCACAAGTAGGGAACTGGATGGGAAGCGGGGCCACCAGGATTAGAACTGGAACCCATATGGGATCCTGGCATGCTCAAGGCAAGGACTTTAGCTATTAGGCTACCGGGCCAGGTCCAACACTTGTGATTTTAAACAGTAAGTTTCTGGAGATGCAGTCAAGACTGCTAGGAACTCAGGCCAAGAGGCACAAAGTGTATTGTTGAAGATACAGATACAACCTTCTTCAAGTTTACTATGCCCTAACACAGCAGATACACATTTTAGTTATTGTTCAAATATACAACTGTCAAGAGGCAGCTTCTCAATTAAAATTTCTGAAAATTGAGGAAACAAAGTTGAGAGGATAGGAATCTGCTGCAAGTTGGTGTAATTGTCTTTAAAGTTATGATATTGTTTGACTCCACGGGGCAGGTGTTTGGCCTTGTGACTGGTTGGGACACTCGCTTCCCAGATGTAAGCGTTTCAGATTCCAGCTTCCTGATCAGCCCACTGTGGTGGGCAGCAGGTGGTAACTCACTTCGAAAACGGTTTGGGTTCCTGGCTCCTGTCCCAGCCCCAGCCATTGTGATTGTGTAGCTGATACTGTGCTTTCGTAGCTCTAACTGTATGTTTGTCCCTCTACCTCCCAAATAAATTTTTGAAATCCCGTGTAACTCCAGTGAAATGCAAGTTCACTACATGCGAACACTGCTACTCACAGAATGAAGCCGCATTCCAAACTTACAGCAAGTTTTCAGAAACTGCTTTACTCTCTGCATCCTTCATTCATCAGTCCTATTGTTTCAAGGTTTGATTAGTAACTTTAAGTTTATATGATAATCTTGAAAACTCACGTCTCTAAATTTAACATTTAATAGAAAACAAGACTTCTCCAATGTACAGATAATTACTCAATGCCAAGATACATTTTGTGATCTACTTTTTCCTAAATGGTCCCTTGCATAAGAGGTGGTCACTTTTTAATCAAAACCTTACACAAATGCATGACTTTAACTCACTAATTATATAATTTAGAACAATAATCTAGAGAAGTTTTAAAACCAATTCACAATGGCTACAAATGCCCTGTGATGATGAGTTACTGAGAGACAAATACTCTAATGCAGACTTCCGGGCTTCTCAGGCCTATCTCCATGTAAACAACCATGACTTCCACGAAACATTAAAACAGAACAACTTTTCAGGATGATTCTTAGGATTTGGAATAGAATGTCCCAATGGTATCAAACATACCTGAGAAACTGTGGTAAACCAAACAACTCCGCTGGATCTGAAAGCGACTGCTGTATAAACTAATGTGACCAAAATAGTCTCTGATGTATGAAGATGATGCAAAGATCCGTGTGAGAAATTTTAATGAGTGGACAAACATTGCTTCTATTGCAAATTCTTCAATTTCAAGGGACTCTCCCTTCTACCAACTAAAATTCCATGTGTTAGAGTTGGCTTAAACTTTTTAGATATCCTGTGGTCACGGGCATAGCTGGTGACTTTGGTGCTTACACTTATGACAATCTCAACAGAAACATCACCAAAGATCTGCCGGGCATACGTTCAAATACTGCGCGTGTGACACTGAACCTGCAGCAGCCCACCGGCCCTGGGCATTCTCTGGGTTGAGCACTTCTGGCGTGGTTGGTGTCTGAATTCCATTTGTTCCTACCACAGACTCCATGAGAAACTTGACTCTTTCCCGCATGTAAAGGAGGCCCATGACCTTTCCGGGTTTTGCCACTGTCACTACCTCTGACTCCCAAAGAGCTCAAAGATACAAGCATGCCTTCACCTCCAAAGGCCTGCATGACAATGCAGACTCATACGAACTTGCAACTGAGTATTTTAATCACAAAATTGCAACTTGCAATTTAATACTTTGAGGAAAAAGTGACTATTGCAGCATCCTGAGTAGCAAAGGCATCACATAAACATTTGTTAAAAGAAAAAAAAAAAACACTGCTACTTTCCGATAAACTGAAACACCATTTCAGTTTACAGAGGGTGAATTTAGAGAAAAGTACAGAGCTTAAAAAATAAGGTGTGCACAAAAGAAAAATATACTTTCTCATTTAATAAATTAACTTTTGATCAACGTTCTACATAATTACAAATTTATCCAGACCCTCCAACTACACTAATAATTTCACTAGGTATATCCACTTGTTTATTCATTTTCACCAAAAGAATGAAAATCAGAATTTTCAGATGTCTGAATCTGAGCACTTGTAATAAACTTTTTTTCCTCAGTTCCATCTAGAATGTTAGAACTGAAATTATAAAAAGTGGCCACCCCAATTTAAACTTGCTACAATTTTACTTTCTTAACAGCTTGGCTTTTCCCTGTGGCAAACAATGATACACATTGTAAGTGAAGTGACAAATCAATTAAGTCTGACAAATGGTATAATAATTGAGCTGCGGCGATATGACAGCCACTAAATATGCCTCCAATGTAACTCAATCTTCACAACTCAATAAGCCATGTGCCATCATTCCAATACAGATAACGCAAGAGAGAAAGGAAAACTAGGGGACCCAATTTTACTCAGGTGAGCAGTGAGCCAGGTTTTGGACCAGGCACTGCTGACAGCACAGCCACTGCAGCCATTGTAAATGGGAGTGAGTCACCCTCACAGATACCCAAATGTGCTTTGTCCCTCTCGGCACATGAGGTTCAGCCTAACCAGCTACTCAGAGGAAGTCCTCTTTGGGAAGTTATCCCTGTTGTCAGTCATCCCAAGACATGCCCTTAGAATAAAACATGAAAATATTCTCCTGTACAGAAGTAGGGACAGCATTGCTATCCTCCTGTTTCCATGTGGGACAGCCTTCCATGCAGCAGTTTTAAGATGTCTGCATCCTGAGCTTGAGGACACAGGTGTGATACCTGGCTCTGCTTCCTAATCCAAAGCCTGAAGTCAAGCAGCACGTGACTACTCAAAATAATTTGGTTCCTGCCGTCCACAGAGATCTGGATTCTGCTCCTGGCTCAGCTTTAGCCACTGAAGGACTGCAGGCAGTCAACCATCAGATAGGAGACACCTTTCACATAATTTTAACAAAATTTAAAGCAAAAAAAAAAAAAAAATTTTAAGGATTTTAAATCCCACTTCATTAACAATGACAGAGAGGACGATATAGTATTGGATCTAGTTAGCAGTTACAGATTTAAATATTCCTGGATTGGCACTGGGACATAGCAGATACAGCCACCATGTTGGCACCTGCTACTTCTCCTCTGACACAACTCCCTGCTGAGGCCTGGGAAACCAGTGCAGGAGGGCGTAAAGGTCCGGGCGTGTCACCCACGTGGGAGACCTGGAAGCAGCTCCTGGCTTCGGTCTGCCCCATCACTGGTGTTTGCAGCTTTCTGGGGAGTGAATCAGTAGATAAACACCAATCTCTAAGTGTTTCAAAATAAATCTTTACAAAAAAATTCATACTCTATAAATTATGAAAGGTGAGATGACTTTTTAAAAAACTGAGTACTAAGAATTACTAGGTCATAAACAAATATAACAATTTGTAGTCTTTTCCATGCAAAAGGGGATTAGATTACAATCTATCCTGTCTGCCTAGACTCTAAAGGTTCTTTGTGTAGGTAAATATCTTAAAATCTTTTTTTTCAAAGATTTATTTTTATTAAACTTAGACATACAGAGAGGAGGAGAGACAGAGGAAGATCTTCCGTCCGATGATTCATTCCCAAGTGAGTGTAATGGCCGGTGCTGCGCCAATCCAGAGCCAGGAGCCAGGAGCCAGGAACTTCCTCCAGTTCTCCCACGCAGGTGCAGGGTCCCAAGGCTTTGGGCCGTCCTCCACTGCTTTCCCAGGCCACAAGCAGGGAGCTGGATGGGAAATGGAGCTGCCGGGATTAGAACCGGCGTCCATATGGGATCCTGGCGCATGCAAGGTGAGGACTTTAGCGGCTAGGCCACGCCACCGGGCCCAATATCTTAAAATCTTAATGAAAAAAGTGTTGCATTGAATAAAAGTCTAAGCTTGCAAACATAATGGTACCACAAGCAAGCCATACATAAAAAACAAAAAACAAACAAAAAAAAAACTAATCAGATTTTCAATTATTTTATTTTAGAAAATCAAAGATTTACAATTGGTGACATATATTCAACAAGTTAGTAATACCAACTTTCAAAACCTTCACAGATTAACCTGAAATAGAAAATTACTGCTTGTCCACTCCTGGACGCATTCAGAAAAAAACTATATGCTTATAAAAATAAAATGGCAAACCTCACCCCAGCGACTAAGTGAGAGTCTTAACTTCCCGTGCTGGCTTATTTCATCTCTGCACAAGGGCAGTTTTCACTCTCCTCATCCTGCCTCCAAGTCCTATGATGCAGGAATAAAATTTAACAACAAAATCCACTAACATAAACAATGCAGCTAATGTTTTTATTTCTTATTTTGATCTTTCTTTCAACATCTGGGCATTTGGCATCTTAATGTTATTTCTATACCTGAAACTATGAAGTAATGGGTGAGAGGAGGAAAATGGAAATTGCAGGTCAAATACTCCTCAAACAAGGCGGGGACAGCAGTAGGTAAACAACATTTATTTATACAATGAAACCAAAAAGATAGCAAGCTATAGTGGGTACACAGTACTTGAAAAAAAAAAAAAAAACTCCACTTTCTCTTTGAAATATCATTAACTATTTTCTGAGCACCATATTAACCAACATCAAGTATCCAGAATTCTGAATCTTGAAAGTCAGAAATGGAACTTCATGTAACTAAAATGGCAAAACCCCAGCTTCCAAAAGACAGAAATATTGATACAGTTTTAGTAAGATTCACTGCACTATGATGCTGACATTCTTCCACTAGAGACAAGTGGAAAAGATGTGCCTTCATTTTGAAGTACTTTTTCTTAAAAAGAAGTTGCATTCACAGTAAAGCTCTAATAACAGCTGACTGAACAGAAAAGCCTAACAATGGCGAGGGAATTTCAAAATGTTGTGAGCGCTCTCACACTTATACAAAAATATTTCCAAACAGGAGCAAGCAAAAATTAAAGTTTTAATACAAGCAGAAATAACATTATTCACTCACAAGCAACATTTTCCAACCACACAAACAACATTTCCCAACCACACACATTAAAAACTAATAAAACTATGAAGCAACAGCAGAATTATTTAACTGAAGAAAACTAAGGCAGCTATGTACAAAGAAACACAGCACAGAATATAAAATAAGACCACTAGATTTGTTTGCTGATACACATTGCACTTTACACATCCTAACTTTTCAGCATTAACAGATAATGACCAAAAAAGAAAAAACTATACAAATAATTAACATTTTAACATTATTAAGATAAAAGAAAAACATCGATGCATTTAACGTAATCGCGTGTTCAAGTCAGTGGTAAATGCTCACCTGCCTCCCAGCGGGAGGCTCCAGTGAGATTTCTGTGCTATCCAAGACTGCAAAATGAGCTTGACAGTCACCTTCCCAAAGAGCCGTTCACTGTTCTTTGGAAAGGAATCTACTTGTTAAATTAACAATCCTAATCTCTAGTTTTCATTTAAGAGAATTTCATTCTAGTATCTCCTGAAATTCCCCATGATTGGCTTCATTAATAAAAATAATATAATAATGGGGTACCAAACATGACAAATGGGCATTTCATGATTAAATAATAGAGTAGCACATGGACACAACTACAAGGAGTTCCTTACTGCTTAACATACAGAAGTTTCCGTCTAGTTCTGAGCAGATGGCTTGAGAAACAAGCAAATAGTCCCTGACGACCAAAACCACAGCATCAGTATCAGGACCATAAATTACATATCTTTAACTGTTCATCAGAAACCTTTGTAATGGATAACTATTCAATGAATAACTACTGAGATGATAGTTATATAATAAAAATTCTAAAGTTGGCTAAGACAAAGGCCTTGAAAAATAACAAACTAAACTAAAATAAGCATATTAAGCTGTTATCTAAGCAATATCAATTATTCGACACTGGGATAAAAACCTTCTTATCATTCTACTCTGGACAGAAGACAGTCACTCACTGAAGAGTGACAAAACTGAGAATGAAGTTGTTTGATATGCTGATTATGTCAGTCACTATCATTAACATGACAAGATATGATATGAGTGTCACAAAATTTCATGTACACACAATATGCGCATATTTTGGACTATAGGTTATCATAAAGTTTACATTCCATAAACATAAAAAATACAATATATATTACTTTCTGAATAGTATCAGATTTGTATCAAAGGAAACTTTAGGAGAAATTCCAATATATAAAACAAAAATGACAAAGTAAAAACACTACTATTATGGCTAGGATAGGATGAAACAGACCCTTCCCTCCCTGTCACGAGGACCGTTTCCTGGCATGTCCGAGGCCACCACTCCAAGAATCCTGCTTGATTTTGCAAAGGCCAATTACAACCCGACACTTTCCCCACTACATATGCCCCTTTGAAAACTTTACAACAATACAACCGACTACAAAGTTAAAAAGTAACATTTCCTCTCCCTTAAAAATAATAAAATAAAATTACTATGTTATATAAATCCACACTTTAGCTTCATAATCTTAATATGATATTCAGAAAAAGGTTTTAATTTTCCTTAAAGTGCCTTGATTTTCTTAAAGACTTTGTCTGTATAAATCTTATCCAAAATATATGAGGGAATGGACTGTAGGAGATAGAGGTATTATCAAACATGTGTCTTCTATCTGATTGGACGATCTGTATCCTCTGCCCATGGAATACACTGTCATCACAAAATATTCAGATAGAAAACATGCAAGTACAACTCAGGTTTCGTAATAACGTGTATGGCGTCAATCTGATGGAGTGATGTGGTTTTGCTCTTCTACACAAACCATTCATCTTTTTGTTCCAAACATCTCCCTATTTTTGAAAGAACTACTCATGCAGTAGATAATAGCAAAATACAAAGAACATGTTCTCTTCTGTAAAGATCATGAATAAGTGTCTAAATTCAATAAATAGACTCTTTAGTAATTTGAAATGCTATCAAATACTGTACAACAGTGAAGTCTCAGTCCTTCTTCTTCTCTAAGGCATCCTTGGGCTCCTGCTCAGCCGGCACTGGAGACCCGGCACTGCTCGGCTCCTGCCGCTCCGGGTTTCCTTCCACCTGCTCTTGGCTTTCAGTCTCACTTTTGGACACTTCATACCGTTCCTCTATGTAGCCCCCATCGGTGTCCGCTGAGTAGATTCCATAACACATGATACTGATGACACCCAGTGGCAGGCCAAAGAGAAAGCAGCCCATGAGCGGGGAGCTCTTGAATATAGACTGTGGAGAGATGATCAAAATGCAGTTCCTATCAGACTGCAGACTCTGATTTTTCTCACATAAACCATAAAGTCTTTTAAGATGGCAACTTGGTGCCCAACAGTGGTGTGACTGTGGAACTCTGGTAGTCTGCTCCTGCAGAAGGCTGGTTTACTTACCAGAAAGATAGCATGGACACACCTCTCCACATTACACACTGAACGTCTCTACTCATTTGGTTATTGTTAAGGCATTGTTAACTTACTACTTCTCATTTTATATAATATGTTCCTAGCTCCCAGAAAAGCAAGAGGAATTTCACTGAATAGGTTTTTAAGAGTAATATACATTCAATGTCCCCTTGCTCTGAAGACCAACATAGACAAACTGAGAGGACAAAGTCCAATTTGGATTAAAAGCAGAAGGCGCTACACACAGAATATGGGTCTGTTCTGGGGTGGAAACTGCAGGATGAGGCCCAGAGTGAGCCAAGCATGAACTCCAGCAAGGACTTCTAAAAAAGCTGAAGCCACACTCAAAAAACCAACAAGGCAAGTGTTGACAGACTGTGCTGGTAGGTACCTCTGGCAAAGGAGAAAGAGGGACTGAAACAGATATCTCCATGGTGCTAATCATGCAGTGAACCCAGAGGATGTGTCAAAGTCCAGTGAGCGTGACAGACGCAGCAAGAATTATTACATATTACATCCACATGTAACAACATATGAACACCACATTCACATGTAAGAACAATTACAAAGAAATGCTCGGATGGACAAATGAAGAAAATATTGTTAGAATGGAGGATTTGACTCATCACATTTTTAAAACATTTTTTTTTAAGAAATGGAGCAAGAGACGAGAGCAATGGCTAGACTAGTTAATACTCTCCTCAAGCACCAGTACCCCATATGGCCAGTGTTTCCCTGCTTACTGCCTGGGAAAGCAGTGGCAGAGGGTCCGAACCTTGGAACCTGGCACCAGCCCAGCTCCAGGCACTGCAGGCATTTGGGGAATGAGTGAATCAGCAGATTGAAGACCGTTCTCTCTGTCTCTCCTTTGCTCGGTAAATCTGCCTTTTCAATTTAGGACAGGATAAGGGCAGACAGGGATAAGGGAAGCAGACAGGGCTCCCATGTGGTGCTACTTCACTCTCCAGAAGCTCAGCACGCTAACAAACAGGCTAAACCAAGTTCCTCATCACACCAAACTTCTGCATTAATGAAAAGAAGAGAAAAAAATCTGTAAATGACCCTCATTATTTGCCACCTGGGGAAAGTAAAAACTATTGGATATAGTTAAAATCTCAAGATCTAAAAATTAAATGAACACTTTCTACCCAATGAATAAATTTTTCTACTGGAAATACCAACTAACTCATATTGTATAAATAAGATTTATTTGACCTGATCATTTTTAGCCACAATGAATTTATGCATTCTTAATGATTGATGACATTCAACAATTGTAACTTACCACAATGGTAGATTTGGCATCAAACACTATTCTTTTCAATCTCTGCCAAATGCTATCGCCTCCTTGGGCCTTCGGTTCAAAAGAGAAAAAAGCTGTTACTGCAACATTTTTCTAAGGTTTGTAGCGTAATATAATTGCAGGTCAAAGGGTTGACAATAAGCTATTAATTTAGTTACCTGACAAAGACATGTGATAAACATCTCCCTGTTTTCTGCCTCCCATTCCTTCTGTCTTTGCATTAAGGCCCCTCATTTCCTCTAAGGAATGTGATGCCCCCTATTCATAATCCTCTAAATAGAGATGGTTCACTCCAAGCCACGGACTACCCAGTTGTTTCTTGGGACAAACATTGTTTAGCGAGAGCAGACACAGGAAATCTTATTGTATTCAAGGAGTCTCTTGAGCACACAGCTCAACAAAAAGGAAGCACCAACAGGCAAAGAGAAATCCTTGATGAAATCAATCAAATCAATGATTCAGTAGCAGTGAAATCCAGTTTATTCCCCGATTCCCAAGCTAAATGAGCCAATAAAAGTAAGACCTCTTGCTGCTTGGTTCTTAGCCAAACTGATTCTTAGCCAAAAAAGTGAGGCTGATTCAATCAAAATCTTACTTTCCCAAATACAAACTTCTATGCGTTACTGTTTGTCAAACCACCTGACAGTGACCCCAAGTAGATGTGCTTCATGGTATTCTGTGAATCAAGTTTCACATTAAGTTTGTATAAGGCTGAAGCAGAAGTCTCACAAAATGATAATTAAACTTCATGAAATTATGAAAACAATGAAGTTTCTCATTTTACTTTACTAAGAACCACACTGGTCACAATCTGGTTGGGGCCTGAGGTGATATCACAACTGTCTAACACAGGTTGTAGCTCACTATGAAAAAAATGGTGCAAGATGTATAAATAAAATACAAAATTAAGACTGCCATTCATTTATTACCAAGGAACATTTTCACAGGACTGTACCTAGAACTCTCCGCTAGGACTCTGATTGTCAACACATGTCCTTAGCCTTTAAGAAACTGCGATTTGGGATTACACAGGCAGATTATCTTAAAAAGGTAACCCTAACAACTCGATCCAATGACACATTTGAGGACACAAAGGTCTGAAGTGTAATGCAGGTCTCTCACCATCTGCCCTAAATGCCACTAAGACTTTCCCATGACAACCACAAATACCCTTGAAATGCCTGCTGAAGAGACCTCTCCAGCTCCCCGCAACCGCTAGCAGGAAGAAGCTTCTCTGCCTGGGAGGCATGCCTCAGCCTCCAACAGGAGGAAGGCAACACACGGCTGTCTCCCTCTGTTCTGTCCAGAACTGTGGGACCGAGATCCATCAGGTCTCCCTCTGCTTCTTCCCCAACGTATCTTCGAAACTGAAGTGAACGACTCACCTCTACTGTGCCATCCAAAATGCTACTAATGAACTGGACCATGTCTTCGGTGTCCTTAATCTGTCTGTCCAGCAAAAAATATTGTTGGTTTGAAGTATTTAGCACAACCACAGTAGGGATTGCCAATTCACTGAAAAAAATAAAAGCAAAACAGACATTAAACATGGTGATAACAAATATTCTGATATTTATATCCTAGTGGCTATAATTATGGAATGAGAGAGTTTTATTACAACTCTGCCCTCTGGCCACAGAAACTTCAAATTGTACACTGACTTGTAAAACTATTTAAGTCATGATTACTAAGAAGGTATTAATAAGCAAAGTTTAGTAATCATGGTCATGACAAAGGAAGTAAAAATGTTTGGTCCTATTACCCCTTGCCACAAACTTACTTAGAATGGCACTTCTGTGTTCACCATCTGCAAGCCCGCCTCAGCAGTTACACATAGAAAGGTAACTAAAAGGGACAGCATGATGGTGCACTTGGCTCATCAGCCACCTTCCAGTACTAGATTCCCATGCAGGAGCCGTTCGTTTCCCGGCTATTCCATTTTCCAACTAGCTCCCTTCTTGTGCCCTGGGAAAGCAGTGGAGAATGACCCATGTGGCAGATTCAGAGGGGGCTCCTGGCTTTGGCCATGAGGCAATTTGGAGAGCAACCAGTAGATGGAATATCTCTCTCTCCTTCTCTTTGTGAATCTACCTTTCTATTACAAATAAATCTTTTTAAAAAATTGGTAGCAAGGTCAGAGGATCAGCATGGTCTCAGATGTCACTGAGCTTGTATTCAAATTTAAAAAGCAGCAGCATGTTAGCAAGTGACTTCCTCTATATAACGCATTCCACTAGCAGGGATGTGGGTGGAACAGCAACTCAAGTTACACATTCAACATAGTGACCTTATACAAACATATAATAAACACTGCCACAAATGCTATGAATTCCCACTAACACATTGCATCCATCATCCCACCCTCTGCCATGCTCCAATGATACACTAGACAGTGATTCTACTTGCAGAGAAAAAAAAAATCTATACACTATTACCAACAGGTGTTATTTACCTTAAATTTCTTTTTCCTTCCTTTTTTTTTTGTTCTTTCAAGGATAAGTTTATGCAAATTCTAATCTCATACTTCACAGAAAGAGGAATTCGAAAACTAAAAGTTTTGACAGCAATATCAAGTAGTACTTTACTTACTCCATCAACAAGGTATTTATATAGTCATTTCCATCCATGTGGCCAAACTGAAAATCCCTAAGCAACAATAACCAAAGAGGAGAGGATGGGAAAAAGAAAAAAGAGCCAGATAATAAGAGTTAAACACAAAAAAAGGGCAACCAGAACAACAAATTAAACAACCAAAATTCAGGCTGGCAAGCATATAAACATAATTACTGATTATGTAAAAAACACAATATATAGTAAAAAGTATGATTCTACGAGTTTTTGCAAATACACCTGAGTAAAATACAGCAAACTCATTTCTACTTTGTTTATGCATGTTTAAAATGTAGAAAATTCACACATTTCAAATTATGGAAAAGAAAAACAACCCATTTACTCACCTAGAAAAAACAAAACAGAAAAGCACACATCCTAACCAGAAGAAATACTATGAAACCAAAAAAGCTACACACAGACCCAGCATCAGAAGATGCAGAATAAGAGTAAAAACAATTTAGCAGTTAACAAATTCACATTAATGAACTTTTATGGAAGTTACAAAGAAGGGCTCAGCACAGAATAAAGTATAACACTCCTGATGTCCTTTCATCTGCAGTTATTCTCCGAGTCCCATCTCCAACTCTGACGGCTCATTTAGCCTCATGTCAAATTCATGAATACATACATATGTATATGTTTTCTTTCTATAATATTTATCTCTGATCCTATCAGGAAGTAATATGACAGAAATCATAACTTATTTCAGTTGCTTGACTCAACTTTCAAAGTATGAATTACTACTACACATTTGCTTTACCTCATTATGAAACTAAAGGAAAATAAAGGAATCTTCCAGAGTGCAAGCACATACCTATGGAAGCGGTCTCTGTAATCTCTAGCAACTTCTTGAATAATTGACTTCAATCTGCAGTAGGACAAACATGAATTATTTCAGTTCTTCAGTTGTAGCACTCACTGCCTAATGTACTGAAAGCCCTAAGAAGTGAACTTTAGGTAACTATTCCCAAGTGCCATACCTGGTGTGTTCAACTGAAGTGTTTTTCTCATCAATAACTGCAATAGCCACAAGCTTCCCTGAAATTAAAAGTGATAGACTTCATTACACAGATTTTTAAACTATCACTAGACTTGTAAAAAGGAATTAGTCAGAAATGTCCTTAGATTTTAATTTCAATTTCCTCACACACGGGTTGCATCAAATGAAATCAATACACCACATACCTACAATATGTAGAATATTATCTTCCCACAGGCCAATACAGTTTCAATAAGAGACACCATTTCTCACACATAATTGTCAAACACTGTATCAACACTCGGCCTGTTAAAAACAATGGTGGTAAGCAAACATCCAGTTAACCATGCATAACGATGCTCTGGTGCAAGGGTACAGCTTCTCTTCAGGAAACTGGAAGCTCGGCACAGCTACAGAGGCAGTGCACGGGAAAGCCTGAGAGAAGGCAGGCAGGAGGTGGAGGCCCCAGTCAAGAGCAGGCAGGGTCCTGGAGTCACAAGAACGTTTGAAACGACAGAGAGCTTAGGAGGCCACAGGGCTTTTAAGAGGAACACGGCCAAGCTGATGCCAATGAGGGCAATGAGACTGGGTACACTAACAACACAGCCATGGTAAACTTCCAGCTCCAAACGAATCTAGGCAAAGAAAATGAGCAGGATCAAATTCACCTATGTAAATCACCTTGAAGTCAAGGTATTTCCTGCAACACAGCACTGATGACAAAACTACTATATCCCTGTTTTTCAACCCTTTCCCCTTCTTCCTGGAATCAGAAAGGAAACCTGCAATGAAAGCACCTGTCTGCTTCCACTACTGAGTTAACATGTTGTTCCCTGTATTAAGAATAAACAAAAAACAGAAACCACCAGATCCAGAACATGAAAGGCAGCTATGGAGCTAGAGCAAATCTTATCCTACAAATAGGTGCAAACAGGAAAGTGTAGGAATATTTCTAATTTGTATTCTGACTCAGATGGTAGAGCTGGAAATGACGAAAAGGAAGTACTATGTCCATTACTTCTCATTAAAAAAAAGCCTCAAAGAGGTTTTCTATTCTTTTACTCTAAAACCACATTTTTATACTATTTGTAATATAGTGAACATAAGCACCTATGCTGTAACCATGATTCTCATTTTCTGTAAATTTATAAAGTATTCCTCTTAAATCTCAGCTTCTGGGGTACTCATTCAGGAACACCTGCAATGTATGCTGGGGTCCATGGTTCATTTCCTGGCTCGCCTTCCAATCCAAATTCCTAACATGCATCTGGAAAGCCAGCAGGTAGCTGGACACCTACCGTCCTGGGTTTGGCCTGGTGAGGCCCTGTGGTGTGCACACTGCGGAAGTGACTCAGCAGATGCAGAGCTCTGCTTTTCAAGTAAATAGTTGGCAAGTTTAAAACTTATATTTTTAGAGTTCGCAACTATAAGATCGTCTAACTTTGTTTCAAAGGTTTATTCATGTTTATGTCTTTGAAAGCCAGAGTGATTGAAACTAAAAACAAGAGAGGAAGAGAGAGAGAGAAAGATCTGCCTTCCTTCCCCTGATTCGCTCTACAAACAATGCCAACAGCTAAGGCTAGACTAGACTGAAGGCAGGGGTTCAGAACGTCACCCTTCATGGCAGCAAGGGTCCGAGTACATAAGCTAAGTCAGCTGACTCCCAGGATACACTAGCAGGAAGCTGGATCAGAAGCACAGGCACCACAATTTGAACCAGCACTGTGACAGGGGGTGCAGGTGTCTCAACCACCAGCTTAACCCACAGTGTCACTATGCCCACTGGTTAAAAAAGAAAAAAACTTCTTACAGCTTTCAACTTTGTGTTCACACTTTGCCTGTCATTATATTAGAATGCTACCCCACTATAAGTGAAAATTCCCCTCTCCCAAATAAAAGCAGGCCACATAAGCTTGGACGAAGTTTTACGCTAATCCTTCTTAGACACTCCTGAGTGTAGCTTCTGGGCTGAGCAGCTGTTTGCATTCACACATGATTCAGCCGTTGCTTTTCCTTGACACTCTCACTCCTATTAGTAAATCCTTCCTTGAGCGGAACTCTGAGTCACACACTTAAGCATTCTACTTGGTAATATCAGTCTGTATTCTCATAAAACATGGCTAAAAGAAGGAATTAAATCACAACAGAGCTTAAAATTTAATTTTCCACAAAATATTTGTATAATTCACTAAAAGAAAATTCTGTGATAAAGAATTGTACCTGTGTCTCCAAGTTCATACAAAAGGAAGCCATCCACTGTAAGGTAATTCTGAAATCTCTCCCGGTTGATCCATGCAGACAGATCACCATCTTCATACTCTTGAAAACAAAGTTGATTTAAGACAGTTATAATGTTTTCATCTGGCAATACATATAAAATACCTGATGTTGCCAGCCATATCTGTATATACTGGTTACATGCCGTACCCAAAATGGCGCCGGCCAGAGAGGCTAGATCTTGGTGCCTGGTGGATAGTCACGTAGCTTTGGCAGTACCACGCATGCGCCTAACGCATGCGCAGTGAGCTGCGGCGCGGCAGGCACGTAAACACTGGGACTGACGAATCCAGTCGCCCAGAACCCTGCGTAATCATGACGCCGACCTATCATCGGCGGAGGCGGGGCCAGACAGCACATGAGAGTAGAAGCCTGCCGGGATTCACGCTTCCTTCCTCATGTTAGTGTGCACAATAAATTTTACCGCAGGAGACTTCACACGCGTCTGCGTCTTATTGCTGGGCGGTAAGACACGTGGGCGCGACAACTGGTGCCAGAACCCGGGACTGAAGAATGGTTGTGCTAATTCTGCTCTTATGTGCAGGCTGTGCCTTATGCCTTTTTTGCCTGTGTCGTTTGAGACACCGCGCTCAGCGAGATTGTGTGACAATACATCAAGCCCTACTAGCCATGCAGTATGGTGACTCCCCCATGGTATGGTTGAGCATGCTTCAACAGGCTTAGTTAAGAGCATGGACATCATGGCTCCTGCACCTCAGGTCATTATGGCATTGCACTGAGTTCGAGCATGATGCATAATGCACCTGACTAGCCCTTACACCTCGCAGGTCTTATCCATTGCACGCGAGAGGGTAGTCAATCTTATAACTAACTTGTCGAGACATTGCTCTTTACAACCACCGCGGTTGTAGCCCATGACGGGTAAGATAGACCCAGACAATTATCGGTCTAAGACAGGGACTACGTCAAGCCACGCAGCCTCCCTATGACGGATCGTGCGCCTTGAGTCTACAACCTAAGACAGGCCCATACCAGTTTATTTTTCTATTGTATAAGAAGGAGGGAGATGTTGCCAGCCATATCTGTATATACTGGTTACATGCCGTACCCAAAATGGCGCCGGCCAGAGAGGCTAGATCTTGGTGCCTGGTGGATAGTCACGTAGCTTTGGCAGTACCACGCATGCGCCTAACGCATGCGCAGTGAGCTGCGGCGCGGCAGGCACGTAAACACTGGGACTGACGAATCCAGTCGCCCAGAACCCTGCGTAATCATGACGCCGACCTATCATCGGCGGAGGCGGGGCCAGACAGCACATGAGAGTAGAAGCCTGCCGGGATTCACGCTTCCTTCCTCATGTTAGTGTGCACAATAAATTTTACCGCAGGAGACTTCACACGCGTCTGCGTCTTATTGCTGGGCGGTAAGACACGTGGGCGCGACAACCTGACAGGATCATAACCTTAAACCCACACATTTCATTTTTAGAAACTGATTTTAATCACATAAAAAAAAGGAATAAGCAAAAAGCATGTTTTCACTATACCATCATTAAAGATAGCAAAAAGTAACTGAAAATAAAGGAAAAAAATCAAAATGCCCTACATCAACAATAAAAAATTGTGGTGTATGTTGAAAAAGATTAGCTTAAGTTTCTTAAAGATGTGTAATAAGTTACAAAGTAATATCACATTATGACTATAACTAAAATATTGGTTGAAGACTGGGTTTTACTCTTTTCTTGAAAGCCACTTGCACCGTTAAAGCATATTTTTCAGTTATTAAACCTATGAAACAACTGGCTGCACTGCAAATCTGAGCTTATTAATGGATCTGGACATAAACAATGGAAAAATAAACATAAAATTAGGAGCTAACTACTGCTCCCATGTCCACTGTCAGAACCTAATTCTCTGAAGAGTGCTCTGTGAAATATTTGCAAATTAGAATATAAACTATCATCCCCAGCTCCTATTCCAAGGCTTCCAAACTTGCTACCAACAGTTAAATATTAAAATAGACACTCAAAATAAAGCCTTTCATTAAGGTTGTAAACACTACATACTCAAAATAACTAGCTTTTACAATGCTTATGGAAACTCATCACAGGGGTCAGCATCACAGTGTCACGGTTTAAGTTGCTGCTTGTGATGCCAAAATCCCATGTGGATGGACCCTGGTTTGTGTCCCAACTGCTCCACTCAGGGGCCTGAGGAAAAGCAACAGAAGTTGGCTAAGTGTTTGGTTCTACCAGCCATGTGTAAGACCAGACGAAGCTCCTGGCTTCTAGCCATGTTCTGGCCCAATACCAGCCAATAAATGATCTGGAGAGTGAACCGGCAGATAGAAGATCTGTCTCCCACGTCTCCCACTCTCCCTTGCTCTCCTTAACTCTTTCAAATAAGTGAATCAGCCCCCAAAACAAGAAACAGAACAAAGACACCTCTCATCTATCACTCCTGAATTTCTTAAGCACAGGAGACCACATCTAAGATACCCACAGAGGAAGAAAGAATATTCAATAATGACTAAACAGATATGATCAATTTTTTTCCAAAAAGAAATTAAGGTGGCTATCAGTGGCTATCTGAATAAAGAAACTCAGAACAGATCCAAAGGCTAAATCTGATACCACCAAATATTTAAGACAGGAGGGGGAAAAGTCCCTTTAGTCCTGTTTTTTTTCTAAATCCATTAAATATTAAGAATATTGCTCTTAAAGGATTATTATCATGACCAAATAAAATAATATGTGCCAAGTCCTTATTATGTAAGCAGCACTACAACTGAAGAGCAAGCAGGGAGCAGATGCACAGATGCAGAATATTTCCCCTCCTGTTTTCATGGACGTGAACCCCACCCAAGCTCCTTGAAGACTGCTGTCTAACTAATACAGACATTCAAGAAGCAGCTATGAATGAATGAATAATGAATCTGCAATAACGGGCCTCCTTATCTAATGTTATCTTCTTTGAGAAATACAACCTTTGTATTGTATTACTTTGAGGATAAAATGAAAAATTAAATTGCTTAAACATTTCTTTTTATTAGAAAGGCAGATTTACAGAGAAAAGGAGAGACACGAAGATTTTCTGCCCACTGGTTCACTCCCCAAATGGCTGTAATGGCCAGAGCTGAGCCAAACCAGACAAAATCCTGGATCCTCTCCTGGGCTTCCTATGTGGGTGCAGGGTCTCAAGGCTTTTGGGCCAACCTTGACTGTTTCTCCAGGCCATAAGCAGGGAATGGATGGGAAGTGGAGCAGCTGGGACACAGGCTGTCATGCAACAGAATTCTGATGCTTGCAGGTGCAGGATTCACCAACTGGACTATTATGCCAGCCTTGATATAATGGCAATTTCAAGTTAAGGATACAGACAGCACCTGCTCTATGAAAACAACTAACATGGTAATTACTCTGTAGCAAGCAATCAAATCCAGTTCTCATATGTAAAGACAATGAAGATTAGAAATGATTAATGTGGGCCCAGTGCGATGGTCTAAAGGCTAAATCCATGCCTTGCATGTGCCAGGATCCCATCTGGGTGCTGCTTCCCATCCAGCAACCCTGCTTGTGGCCTGGGTAAAGCGGTAGACAACGGCCTGAAGTCTTGGGACTTTGCGCCCACGTGGGAGATGCAGAGGCAGTTCCTGGCTCCTGGCTTCAGATCAGCTCAGCTCCAGCCGCTGCAGCCATTCGGGGAGTGAATCAGCGAATGGAAGATCTTCCTCCATTTCTCCTTCTCTCTGTACATCTGCCTTTCAAATAAAAATAAATTTTGAAAAAAAAATTTAATCTTTACAATAATAAATGTCAACTCACAAAAAATGCACCTTTTACTGAAAACAAATTACAATGTTTCATACTGGATATCTATGTGAATTATTTAAGCAACTCAAGTCCATAGTTTTTAAGTTTCCTATGACGTAAAATTGAGAAATATAACCATGCTCCAGAATGCTTCTGTAGTAACCACAATGCTGCTCAGCTGGTTTTCTGGAAACCGCTGACAATAGCCCCCGAAGACCCCTGGTCCACTTTCCAATTGCCTTTAACAACCAGGGCAAGAGCCAAGCCAAAGCCAGGAACCTGGATCTCCACCTGGGTAACCCATGTGGGTGACAGGGACCAAGTGTTCAAACCGTATCTGCTGTCTCCCACCGTGTGCGTCAGCAGGAAGCTGGACTTGCAAGGTGAGATGGGACTTAAACTGAGGTACCCTGATATAGGATGTGAGAACCCCAAAGTGGCACTTTAACTCATTGTACCCCATTGCGCATCCAGAACGTTCTTTAATGGACCAACACAGCCAGCACCATGGCGTAGTAGGCTAAGACTCTGTCTGCATTGCAAGCATCCCATATGGACACTGATTCATGTCCCCGCAGCTCCACTTCATTCAGCTCTCTGCCTATGTTCTAGGAACACAGCAGACCCAAAACACTGCATCCATGTGAAAGACCGGGAGGAAACTTTCGGTTCCTCATTTCACACCAGCTCAGCTCTACTTGCAATCACCTGGGGATTGAACCAGCATCTGGAAGATCTGTCTCTCATTCTCTCTGTTAATCTGCCTTTCTTGTAAAAAAAAAAAAGTAAATCTTAAAAACAAACAGACTGAGTATTTGCTTCATTGAAGAAATACTGACGAGCAGTTAGCGTCCCGCCTGACAGCAGGCAGACACCACTTCAGAGCGTGGCACACCCAGGGCTTCAAAACCAACAAAGAGCCGCCCTGCCCTCATCTCCTTGTGTCCAAAATGTGTGATGTCTTTTAGAAATTAATTCTGAACATTGGAAAAAAATGAACAGGAATTGAAAACACCTCCACTTCTTAAGAACACAAATAATTTGAGGAAAAATAAATAAAATTTTTAAAAACCCTCACAGCTCACAAAACTCGATTAGAATAAAAAGCTAATAGGCCCGGCACGGTGGCGCAAGTGATTAAGGTCCTCGCCTTGCACGCCTGGGATCCCATATGGGCGGGCACCGGTTCTATTTCCCGGCAGCCCCGCTTTCCTCCCAGCTCCCTGCCTGTGGCCTGGGAAAGCAGATGAGGATGGCCCAAAGCTTTGGGAACCTGCACCCGCGTGGGAGACCTGGAAGAGTCTCCTGGCTTCGGATCGGCATAGCAACGGCCGTTGCACTCACTTGGGGAGTGAATCATCAGACGGAGGATCTTCCTCTCTGTCTCTCCTCTCTGTATATCCACCTTTCCAATAAAAAAATAATAAAAAATAAATCTTAAAAAAAAAAGAATAAAAAGCTAAAGTTACAAGGTAAAAAATAACCTTTTTGTCACACAGAAAATATTTTAACACCCATGTCTTACAACAGACACAGCATTTTAACTACAATTCTACTCCCAGAACAAAAATATTCTAAGAGTTACAACGCTGGAACTTACCATCATAGATGAAGTAGGTTTCATCTTTGAAAACAAGCACAGCAGGCATCTCTTTTAGTGTCACATACTGTCAAAAAACCACAAGTTTAAATACCCTTTTATTAAAATATATTTTAATAAAATAAAAAAAATTAAGTGGTAGCTATGATTTCAAAATTATTCAAACATGTCAGACCACATATACATGATAAAACGAAATGTTCCCAACAGTTAAAGAAGAGAAGCACCCTGAGCTCATCTGCGAACTGCACTGCACTCTCTCTGCACCCTGGGCAGAGTCCGAGCTGTCCCAGTAAGTCACAGAGCTGCTAGGAGACCAAGCTGTCTTCCTCTAAGTACAGCGCAAGAGGCCAGGGCACCAACAGGACAGCGCCCTCCCCCAGCACCGGCTGCACCATTCTGAGTGCAGCAGAGCTGGGGAGCTGCTGCGTCCTCCGTGTGACAACGACACGTATACCACTTAACTTACAAGGTAATTAGGAGTCATTATCAGCTAGCATAAGTGAGAAAATTAATCCTGTTTTATTGAGAAAACTCAACAATGGAATTAACAAGGACTTTACTCAAAAAATGTCTACTGTTTATCAAAGTACTCTGCCTATTTCATAACAGTAATATTAGACTCTAATGTTTATGTCTATTAAATTGTCTCTTTTTTCTTTTCACAGCGCTAAGGATACTGTGTTTGTAGTTTTGTTGACTAAAAGCTGCTATCTCAGACTGAGAACTCCAGAGGACCCCATCTGCAGAGGTCTGCAGGCACACACACACCGACCTGCAGAGCAAGCCATCTCACTGATGCAATAATCACAACACAGAAGGAAGCGCTATGAATCGCATGACTTGTGCTTTACAAATAATAAGTTATCTAATACAGCAAGAGTTAGCATACAGTTGCACAGATGGCGCAACAAATCAATCTGATAATCAAGTAATAAGTTTAAAAATGAGATTCTGTTAAGTAATGTCAAATGTAAGTACCACCTCAGGAACGACATCTTCAGCGGCAGAAAAGAAGTACGTATATACAATCAGCTCCGCGGCGGCGTCGGCAAACTTCTCCTGGTACAACAGAAAAAAGCAACTTAAAATTCATAACGGTCAAAATCCAGTCCTTACTCACTTCCAGAGCGACCTCACACAGTCAGTAGTACTAGCCTGCTTCTCGGTGAGAACAGATGGCACAGAGGCAAACCAAAGATTTTAAGGAAGGGAAGACAGCAACCAGTACTTCCTTCCTCTCAAAACAAGCGCATTCAACAAGGCAAGCTAAGCTCTCCTCATGGTTAACTTTAGATTAGTAATTAGCCTGCAGGTGGTGATTGCAGCAAAAACAAGCACATGCCAAATAAGCTTCAGGACAGATAAACGACAGTGTGTAGTCTCCAACTGCTTTAAAAACAACGTAAAAGTCTAGGTTAAGAAGGGAAAAAATGGCAGGCAAGCAACATCTCCCCACTTCTAGCTTACTTCTGCTACATAAAGGCCAACATCACAGATGATATTAAAAAGAGCTTTTGTAACAGAAACATTTAGATCAAGCTAAAGGATTTCCACAAAGAGTTAAATTATACTAACAGGACTGCTCTTGTACATCACAGAACAGAACAAACTCATACTTTCAAAGGTGATTCTCCTCCTATATAAACGAAAAACACACGATGTCTCTTCCGTACATGTTCAAACATTTGCTGACTTGGAAGTGGCCGGATTAAAGCCCTGTTTGAAAACAAAACAAATGCAACAGCACATAATTAATTCTCTGTTTATGCAACAACAGGAAATCATGTTCCAAGTTAAAGTTTTAATAATATGAAGGTACATAAAAAAGATCACCGAAAGTCAAATTTAAAAATCTATTTATTGTGGTACCAAAAAAAAAAAAAATAACCACGACACAAAACCTTGGAATAGATATATGGATGTGTAGTTTTACAACTAACACATCTCTTTGAAGACTACTCAACCAAATGGACTTAAAATTTTTTGCACGAGGCCCGGCAAGATAGCCTAGTGGCTGAAGTCCTCGCCTTGCAAACATCAGGATCCCACAGCGCTCCAGTTCCTCTCCCAGCTGCCCCACTTCCCATCCAGCTCCCTGCTCGCGGTCTTGGGACCCTGCATCCACACGGGAGACCCAGAAGAAGCTCGTGATTCCTAGCTTCGGACTGGCTCAGCTCCGGCCATTGTGGCCATTTGGAGAGTGAAAAACTGACTTTCCAATACAATAAATAAATCATTAAAAAAATTCTTTTGCACCAAAATAAACAGTTTAATTCTGTCCACAAACTTACAGAAGCTACTTTCACACATAAGTGCATTTTAGCAGTTCATCAAATGCAGACCTAGAAACATCAAAGTATGACTGCTGCTGTACAAAATACGAGTAGTTTACAATGTACCATAATTTAATGTATCACTTTCAAAGCTGTCCCTTCAGAGTATTTGCAAATATTATGACAGGTAAAAGTAGAGTTATTATCTACTTAAGGGTCCTCAGTTGGAAACGAAGTCAATTCACATGAGATTATTTTCCTTTTCAAAAGATCAGTCAAAAACATCCTATCAAGCACTACTGCAGGCGCAGAACACTGAACACGGGGCAGGCACTGCAGTGTGCGGGTTGAAGCACTACTGCAGGTGCAGAACACTGAACACGGGGCAGACACTGCAGTGTGCGGGTTCAAGCACTACTGCAGGTGCAGAACACTGAACACGGGGCAGGCACTGCAGTGTGAGGGTTCAAGCACTACCGCAGGTGCAGAACACTGAACACGGGGCAGGCACTGCAGTGTGTGGGTTCAAGCACTACTGCAGGCGCAGAACACTGAACACGGGGCAGGCACTGCAGTGTGCGGGTTAAGTTGCTCTTTGGATGCTTGCATCTTATACCTGAACCCCGGTTCAAATCCCAGTTACTTTCCTTCCTATCAAGCTTCCTGCTCATGCAATGGGACGTAGAAACATGATGGCTCAAGTACTTGGATCCAAGCCAACATAGACAGAGCTCTGCACAGCAGGATGCAGTACAAACCCTGGGTGCTGCAGCCATTTGGAAGGTAAACCTCCTGGTGGAAGGTATTTCTCACTCTTTCTCTGTCATTCAAATCAGTAACACAAATTAAACTGCAGACTAAAGCACCTTCATGCGCTGGAGAAACAGAACACGCTGGCTCACTCTGCCACCCGCCGCCCACAAGGAGGTGCAGATGGAGTCCCTGACTTTGGTTTGTCCTGGTCCCACTCTAGTTGCTGCAACCATTCAGGGGGTGAACCAGCAGAGGAGAGGTTTCCCTACTCTTCCATCTCCGTCACTCTGCCTTTAAAAACGAATAAATAAATCTTGTGTGTGTTTATATATGTGTTTATACGTTTATAGCATATTTTTAATTTAAGTAAGTACTCAATGGAAGTTAAACTCAAGCAGTTTCAAAACAAAATGCAAATGATCGTCACAATAGTACACAAGAACTTCATAAAGAGAAAAAGCACTTGATTGCATCATACAAAGGGTCGAACGAAAGTTCATGGGAGATGCACATTACGGAAAACAATGCACATAATTCAAAATATGTACCAAAATAAATTTTATTTCCATCTTTCAAACTTCTTGAAGTACATGTATAAAAGCATTTTCAAGGGCAAATACCAGAGAATGAAATTATTTCTAGGGTTATTACGAAATTTATCCCTATGAACATCATTATAAAAGACTAAAAGAAGTAGCTTTTCTTTAAATGTGCTATACATTGGTGGATTTTCACAACAAAAAACTTGTAATAACAGCACAAGATATTTCACAATATTCAAATATCTGCACCTTCAAATGCACATTTCATAAAACACATTGCATCACTTAATGCCAGCTTCTATTTCAGTACCGAGCAATTAAAGCCTAAGTGATGCAACTCCAAAACTGAGGCTTGAAATTTCAACTGCCAGGATTGTCCACAGTTACATCAGGAGGACCCCTTCCTAAGCTGAAGCCAAAGCATAAAGACATGAATCATAAGCGACTACAGTACAAGCTCTTAGTAATACCCTGACACTTTGAACTTTCTCAAAACTCACATTTTCACAAAGCAAATAAAATAAGCAACCAATTAAAAAAGTGAGTTTTTTTAATAAATGCTGCAAATTTCAAGAACAATGTTAATTTTATGAACTTTCTTGAAGACCATGGCACCAATATTTTAATTTACCTTGAAGCTATTGGAAGTTATTAATATAGTCTGTTCAAGCCAAAGTGTCAAAGCTGTTTCTCTTGATTAATTTATTTAAAAGGCAGAGTTTGGTGGTGGGAAACCAGGAGCAGAGGAGGGAAGAGAGATTCCACGTGCATGCTCAACTCTCGACCACAGTGGCCGAGGGCTGCGTAGGGCAGAAGCTGACATGCCAAAGAGAAGTACTCCCTTTCAGTGAGAAGGTTTCTTCTGAGAAGCAGTCACATGGCTTTTATCACAGGTTACTGTTACAATGTCCATTTAACCATCACTTCCTGGGCTTACTTCATACACTTTACCAATGTACAGGAAAAAAGTTGTATAGAAGGACCTTCACCAAGTTTGTGGAAAACAGAATTAAGAGATATTTCAGTACAAACTTTTGAAACGTGCCTATGAAGATGGGAATCTCTAAAAGTTTATGAAAATGCATATTAACAAAAACTGCATATGAATTGTCAAGTTTTCTGCAGCAAAATAAAAATGACATTCTTTAATACCCCCTCTCACAATCTTCAAGTTCCCCATATAGAGTTGAGCATTATCTGCGACTTCAGTCATCCTCTGCAGATCACGGGACACCTCCTCACTTACATAGGGCCTACTGTATAAAGGATCAAACATCTGAAGACGCAATAGAGGCTCATCTCAACAGGCTAATGCTCCACCTTCAAGCACCGGCCTCCCATACGATGTTGGTTCCTGTCCTAGCTGCTCCACCTCAGCTCTAGCTCCCTGATAATTACCTGGAAAGCACTGGAGGGTGGCCCAAGTCCTTAGGATCCTGCACTCACACAGGAAACCCAGAAGAGGTGCTTGGCTCCTAGCACTGGATAAGCTTAGCTCCAGCCACTGTGGCCATCTGAAGAGTGAGCCAGTGGACAGGAGATCTTTATCTGTCTCACCTTCTCTGTAAATCTGCCTTTCCCCTCCCCCCAATAAATAAATAAACAACTCTCTCTTAAGAAGAAAATGTGTGTACTAGAATTCACTGGCAAAAAATTTTATACACAAAAATAAAGATGAGCAAGTATAACACCCATGAGGGCTTCTGTCGGCTGCTTAGCATCTTTGTGTTTATGACATAGTAAACCAACAAACACACACAATTCACTGAGATTAGTTCCTAAAACACATGCCCCATGTGGTCTACCAAAGTACACTGTTTACTGAACATTAATATCATGTACAGCATTCTGAATAAGAACTTACCCAGATACTCTGTGAGCAAATTCAATAATGTCATCTTTAGTTCGTGGCCCTCTGTAATTATATGCCAAGTCTCCCTTTAAACTTAAAAAGAAGAAAAGGAAGTAAAAATCTGGCTTATTTAACTGCTTAATACTAAAGTTAAACACTTGCTACTGCACAAAATCGTAACATTAAATAGTAAATATAATGGGGTTTTCAGAAGTAACATACTCATGTAAAACACAGTAGGGAGCTGATTTCACAGGACAAGGAACTCAAATAACAGAAAGACATTTTATCAAAAGCATATAAAAGCATTTTGCTCTGACAGTTGCATAACATCCATGCCTTCTGAAAAGTAAATTAAATCATGGCTAGAACTTACAAAATTTAGCACTATAATTCTCACTCTGTTTCCCAGCAAAAAGTAAATATGAAGACAAGGCAATACAAATGTTATGCCACACAACATCATAGTTACTTGACAGACACAAACATGGCAGAGTGAATCAAGGCATCAAAAACAGCTCTTCAGTGGCCAACACTATGGCTCAATTGGCTAATCCACTGCCTGCAAGTGGCAGCATCCCATATGGGCACCAACTGTTCCACATCGCATCCATCTCCCTGCTTGTAGCCTGGGAAAGCAGCAGAGGATGGTCCAAGCCCTCGGGACCCTGTACCCATGTGGGAGACACAGAGGGGGGGTCCTGACTCCTGGTTTCAGACTGCCTCGTCTCTGGCCACTGCGGCCATCTGGAGAATGAACCAGTGGTTAGATTATTTTCTCTGTCTCTCCTTTTCTCTATAAATCTGCCTTCCCAATGAAAACATATCTTAAAAGAAAACCCCTCATCAAGAAAATTAGGCAATTCTTAATGTATCTAAATAACTGATATCATAAAATAAGTAAAATTGAGAAGTATAAACAAAACTACAATAAAACAGAGAAAGAACACAAAACTTACTTCCTACATAAAGTAAATGTGGTTTAGCAAATATTCTTAAAAAGTGATAGACACAGAGAGGTCAACACAAAACACAAGAAATAATACACATAAATCACTCTCATTATGAATCAATTACATTGTAATAACTTTCAAGACAATTCCCTAACTCCTGACACTCTCAACACAAGGTTAGTAGGAAGCACGACAGTCCAATGAAGTCATGACTACACAACAGTCCTGTACAATTACCGCATCACCTCTTTAACTTGTACACTGTTAAGACTTGAAAAACGTCTACAGATTAAAATTATCAATCATTAATTTTCAGAATTCCTTTCCTTATTCTCTAATGAAATAAGTATTTTTGTTTAGGAAAAGTTAATCTTGTTAGGAGATGGGATATTCAATCAAAAAGTGGAGTGTGTACAAGACCCTCTAAGGATTGAGACAGTCTATAATGGCAGACAGCAGACCATGTCTGGTCAGCATATGCCCACAGCAGGACTCAATGCACTGGCTAAACTGGCTGTACACTCACTATTTATTAAGCATGAAGAATAACAGTCTAATTCCTCTTTGATCATCTTATTTACCCAGAAAGACATATTGACATACAACACGCAACTTACAGCTTAATTGTTGGATAACCTCGAACTCCAAATTCTGAAGCAATGCCTTGATAAGAAAAAAAAACAAATAAATAATTCTAAATTTTTTTTAAAATGAGAAACTAGGCAACAAATGAGCCTTTTATTTTAAAAAAAATGTAGACTTTTTTTTTTAATAAATTCAAGTAGTTACTTTAAGTGTGAAAAGATAAACTCCTATATTAAAAGGGAAAAAAAGACATCTTCATACAAAGCAATTATTTAATCATCAATGCAGTCTTCAAAATACTGTAACACAAAAAACAAATGCCAAAAGCAGAATTAAAAATCTAAAGAACTGTTTTCAAAGATAATCTAATGCAAAAAACAAAAACAAAAAAATACCAGTACACAAAGTACAAGTTATTTTCCCTCCAGAACAATTATTCTTTTGTAGGTCTGATTCGTTCTTCTTAAAACAAAACAACAAAAAACAGGCCTACCTTCCTTTGTTGTTTTGTTATCAAAAAGTCTGATATATTTTAATTTACAAAACTACACCAGTAGCCATGAATTACATTGTATTTATCCAAATCTCATTCTCTCTCTTTGTAGCTTTATCTCCAAGATACCTGCTTTTCATTCTTGGGTGCAAGAACACTATTCCTATTCCTGGATTCTATTTAAACAATCATTTAGGGTTCAGATGAAGGCACGGCTGGGGCACAATGCACAGGGCTCTGAGTCTGGGCTGTTCCACTTGATCCAACTCCCCGACCCAGAAGAGCAGCAGCAGATGGCACAAGTGTGTGGGACCCAGAATCCCAGGCAGGAAACTCAGATGACGTGGTTACATCAACTAGGAATCCCTTCAGATAACTTTAATTTTATCTTCCACTCATGCAAATCAAGTAAAGAAAATGAACTATGCCAGAAGTAAGGAAATAGGTATACAGGGGTGCCATTTCTCAAGACATACATAACATGAAAAGAGTTTAAAACGTAGCAGTGGTTCTCATCCCACTGGAGTCATTTTCAGTTGACACAATGATGACTGGGAATTGAAGCGAGCTCATCACTGATATCTGATGGAGAGGCCAGAGATAATGCTAAAAACTCGACAAGGCACAGCAAAAAAAAACTTTCCTAATAAAAGAAAAATATCAACCTTGCATGGCTAACGCAGCCTGAAATACAATAATTAAGTTCTTTCCCTAAATATATATTTATATCATGTATCTACAAAGAGATATAGATAGAAATAAATTTTCTGGACCCAAATCTCAGTAATGCAAGGTGAGGATACCATGAAATACAGTCATGGATCAGAAAGAACTTACAGCCTAGAAAAGCAAAATTAATTCATAATACAATCTGTGAATATAGTCACAATAAGGAAGTTACTGGCCAAATGCCACTAATGTCACAGTTGGGTTGTAAAACAAACAGAACCTCAGTGGTTCCACAAGAGAAAGCAGCAAACCATTACAGGAAGTAGTATATCCTAATTTCACTTCCAAAGGACAAGTATTTTTCACACTCATTACTGCAGGAGTATGTTCCAAGGCGTCTTAACTATAGGTCCAAATTTACTGTGTATAATTATGCAACTTTTCAATGCTATTTGATTCTAGTATTATTATACTTGATCACTTTTTAAATAGTCCTATCCCACTTCAAACTTACTTCCTGTAACTACTCATCAAAATCACATTTTACTTCGAGGTTCTCCAATTGAAGCTTGCAGCAAAAGCAGGTGGAACGCATGTCAAACACACTCTCCTAACTCTCAAAGGTTTCCACTCCAAAGCACTGGTAAAACCCTTCACAAACTGAACTAACACTTCGTAAACAGTTGGTCCCGAGACCATCAGCTGAGAAACACTGATGTTGTGGCTGCATGGAAACTGACCTAAGGAAAGGGAAGAGACAAGTAGGAAAGCCTCAGAAGTCTACAATTACCACAAAATCATAATCATGGCTTAAAAATAAATTTCTTTACAAGAATCATTACAAGTTCCACTAAAATGCCTATATTTTAGCTATCTTGAAGTATTTAAATGGAAATTGAAACTTTTTAAGCCAAAACTATCATCTCTAAACAACAGATTTTTTATAAGCCTTAAAAAAAAATATCTTAAATCTTTTTTAAGATTTATTTTTATTGCAAAGTCAGATATACAGAGAAGAGAGGAGACAGGAAGGAAGATCTTCCGTCTGATGATTTACTCCCAAGTGACTGCAACAGCCAGAGCTGCACTGACCCAGAGCCAGGAGCAAGGAACTTCCTCCAAGTCTCCCACGCAGGTGCAGGAACCCAAGCATTGGGCCATCCTCGACTGCTTTCCCAGGCCACAAGCAGGGAGCTGGATGGGAACTGGAGCTACCGGGATTAGAACCAGCGCCCATTTGGGATCCTGGCGTGTTAAAGGTGAGGACTTTAGCCACTAGGCCAACACGCCAGGCCCTAATATTACTTTTCTACACAACACAGTAAGTACACCCATCACTAGCACTAAACCCTACATAACACTAGACAGTTTGCTATGTGTATTGCCTAACTGCCTGTTTTTGGTCAGTTCTATAGAGTGTAAGTTAGAGCATAAGTTTAAAAAATTTTAAAAAGTCCCCTCAGGCCCAGTGTTATACCGTAGAGGTTAAAGTCCTCACCTTGAACACACCAGGATCCCATATGGGTGCCGGTTCTAATTCTGGTGGACCTGCTTCCCATTCCACTCCCTGTTTGTGGCCTGGAAAAGCAGGTGAGGACGGCCCAATGCCTTGGCACCCTGCACCTGCATGGGAAACCCAAAGAAGCTCCTGGCTCCTGGCTTCAGACTGGCTCAGCTCCAGCAGTTGCAGCCACTTGGGGAGTAAACCATTGGATGGAAGATTCTTCTCTCTGTCTCTCCTTCTCTATGTATATCTGTCTTTCCAATAAAAATAAATAAATCTTTAAAACGAAAGAAAAAAATTTTTAAAAAGTCTCTTCTGTTGGGCCCGGCATGGTGGCGCAAGTGGTTAAGGTCCTCGCCTTGCATGCCCGGGAACCCATATGGGCGCCGGTTCTAATCCCGGCAGCCCCGCTTCCCTTCCAGCTCCCTGCCTGTGGCCCGGGAAAGCAGTCGAGGACGGCCCAAGGCTTTGGGACCCTGCACCCGCGTGGGAGACCCGGAAGAGGCTCCTGGCTTCGGATCGGCATAGCATCAGCCGTTGTGCTCACTTGGGGAGTGAATCATCGGATGGAAGATCTTCCTCTCTGTCTCTCCTCTCTGTATATCCGCCTTTCCAATAAAAAAATAATAAAAATAAATCTTTAAAAAAAAAAAAGTCTCCTCTGTTTTGCTCACTGAAGTATTACCAGTGTCTAGAACATGTTATCACATTATAGCATATGGTAAAACACACACTAAATCAAAGAATGCCAATTTATAACTTTCCTACAAAGGAATGTTTTTCGGCTAACCATAGTGGGATGATTCCATTAGCCACAAGGATTTACACACGAGCATCCCCATGCAAGGTGGTGAGGGCAGGGGTTTAGCGCCACATATCCAAGGAGCAGAACAAAGTATACGCAGCACCGACCACAAGGCGTGAGAGGGGGGGCCCTCAGACACGCCCGTTCCATTGCCCCACTCAACAGGGGACACATCTGATCCCTACGCTGCAAACTGCAAGAAGTTCTCTTCTGTTCATTCAATAAAACATACAACACAACTCTAAGCAAACAAAATGTACAACAATCACAGCATTAGAAATAAAAAGTGAGCTTCTAAATGGTTATACAATGAGTAGACTTCAAGTCTTATAATGTAAAAACGTATAAAGTCTGAAAACACAAAGAGTAGGAATATTGCTTTTCAGTCCCGCATTAAAAAATTTCTTCTCGGGCCCGGCGTGGTGGCGCAAGTGGTTAAAGGTCCTCGCCTTGCACCCCCGGGATCCCATATGGGCGCCGGTTCTAATCCCGGCAGCCCCGCTTCCCTTCCAGCTCCCTGCCTGTGGCCTGGGAAAGCAGTCGAGGACGGCCCAAAGCTTTGGGAACCTGCACCCGCGTGGGAGACCTGGAAGAGGCTCCTGGCTTCGGACTGGCATAGTATCGGCTGTTGCGCTCACTTGGGGAGTGAATCATTGGACGGAAGATCTTCCTCTCTGTCTCTCCTCTCTGTATATCTGCCTTTCCAATGAAAAAATAATAAAAATAAATCTTAAAAAAAAAAAAATTTCTTCTCTAAACTACACAAGAAAGACATCGGATTACTGTGTCACTTGTTAAATACTACTTATGATATTGAGTTACACAGTATAATAAAGAAATTTTGACTTAAATAGTAAATTATCATTGAACCATCAGATGAAAAGTGTACATAGTGATTTTTATTACTATGCAGTATTTTTATTAGCCATTTCTTGATATACCCAACTCTCCCTTACACATTATTCAATTACTCTACTGAATGATTCAATGATTCAAATGACCACAAGACTTTGCATATCTTAGTATTGAACTTCTGGGCTTGTTCATTTCTCCCTGTATTGATCTGTAAACATTTCCAGCACAGGTACAATTTGTTGGGATTTTCAATCTCTTGGGGTAGGACAGAGCTTTACAAACACCAATCAATCAATATGCATTTAATAAATAAATGAATGCATGTAAGAATAACTGATTATTTTTAATCATATGTCTAGGCCAAGAACTTATGCTCCTGGGCAGCCACTAGTGTAAATAATTACTCAAATCACAATTGTGAACAGTTTACTTCTATGACCACCAAATATGCACATTATTCCCTCTAACAAAGCCCGTTTATCTCTCCAATGTTCCAGCAATTCATTTGTGTGGCTCAGTAGTTCTATCTCACACACACTCCAGTTCCTTCCCCACAAACATAAATAAAATGATAAAGCACAAATTCAATAGCTGTTAACTAGAAAACACACAAACACAATTCTTTTCCAACTCTTGCCAATGGCAGCACAGCTCAGCAACTAAGCTAAAAACCTTGTATTATTTTTTATTGTTCTCATCCCACCGAGACAATCTTCACATCCGTGTCAGTCTTGACAGTAACTGTGACACTTCTCACTTTACTTCAAGCCACAACTTGCACTCATGACTGGGTTCCCAGCATGACACAGACAAGCCCACACAAATGCCCTTCCTGTTTCCACTAGCTCTTCTCTGCCACCCTTGCTGTTACAGACACGTGTTACCTCTCCAACTGACAACCTATAAAACCCAGAACCCTTGGTCTGACCTTAGAGGGTCTTCATCATCTGGTTATCTGTAGCAGCATGTTTACCGCCCCCCGTGCTACAGTGCTTGAATACAAAATATTAACACAACCGTGACAATCTTGAGGATGACCATTCTCCATTACAGACAAAGAAACTAAAAGTTAACGACTTCCCCAAAGCCACCAGGACAGAGCTGTTATGCTCTGAAATACAAGGCAGAGCATAAAGCCCATGTCTTAATACTCATTACATCCTTCCCCTTTCTTCATCGACTAAAGAAAAAGCAAACTTGCGTTTGGTGAATAGCAAGGATTTTACATGCTCATTTAAAACCTCAAAACAACCAATTAAAGAAACACTGCCAATATTTACTCTATGGAATCCAAAACTCAGGGGGATTTAAGCTACTGCAGTGACACAGTAAAAGCAGGCAAGAGCCAGAACTTGAATGCAGGTCTGCTTCCTCGAAGACATACTCTACAAACTCATGATACTTCCTGAAATTAAATCCCTCTTTCCACATCCTTGTAGCAGGCATTGGTGCAGATTATCTGATAGTCAGATAACAACTATTTTAGGCGTTGGCAGGCATTTGCACTGCTATCACAGACACTCTGTTTCCTCAAGGGAGCAGAACAGGCACAGCCAGTGAACAAATGGGCACAACCACGTAGCTACCTCATTCTACCCAAAAGAAAGAGGTGGCCAAACAGATCCGGCCCCCAGATCCTGAAGACAGATCTGCAGTTCCGCCCACCTCTGTGTCTTTCCACTCTGTGCAATACACTCCTTAAGTTCATTTCAATGCTCTAACACTATGTTCAATGTGAGCCCCTTCCTGGTTATCACTTCAATTTATTTCATCCTGCAAGCCCCTATCTACTCCTTTAGACACTGCCATTTCTCTCATGGCCTCAGGTGGGCTCAAGTAGATACCAACAAGGGCCTTGTTTCTGTTAGAGGCCCAAGATCAATACGCACTGTGTTTATAGGATCAGCAGCTAATTTACTGAACTCAATAAAACATGCAGTCTTAAATTATCAAGATAATTCTGCAAGAACATTCTGCCTCAACTACCATTACATAAAAGGAAAGCAGCTGTAGAACAACAGACCAAATCAAGACTTACTGGAATAGGAAGTAGCATCCATCTTCCCAACCTTCACTGGAGAACCAATGCTTCTCATCTCCTGGCCAACTTCATTCCAAATGGGCTCCAGCTTTTTACAATGGCCACACCATGGTGCGTAGAACTTATTAAAAAAAGAAAATGAAATGTTGTGTTTCTCGAGTATCAACTTTAATAACTGCTAACACTGCTTTAGATGAAAAGTTTACAGACAATTTCTAACAGCTTATATCACCAAAGACAAAAGATACACAGATAAACCTAGACAGGTTGACTTCCAGCACATACTTCAGAAATGATGCCATTTTAAACTCCTTTCAGATGGTCACTGATAACTACTTAAAGATACATGATTTATAATAAAACATCTTGGCTTCAAAGTAATGGTGTCCATGCACAACATAGAAGGAAACCCTCATACAAAACATGTATGTCACCATGAAGCATTACTGGTAAACACTGACTTCTTTCTAGTATAGGAATTGCAGCACAGTAAGTGCCCTTGCTGACTACGGGGAGACACCTGAGGCAACTGGTCAGGCATCTTAGCTCAGCTGACTAGGCCCAGCCCTCAGAATCACTGAATAGGGATCCGTAGGCTCTCCCAAGCACCTGGTGCAGTGAACTGCTTACTACACTTTCACACGATGCAAGGGTGCTCACTGAACTGTACAGAATGGAATATTCAAGTACACGCAAAGGAGAAAGAGTTAAACAATGGAGCCTCTTGTCTCATCTAGCTGCAGCAACTGTCAACTCCCCCACGCTTATCCCATCCGTTTTATTGCTACCCTACTTTCTGTGCTCACATCAAAATCAACTGTATTCCAAACTTCACAGTGAAGACAAAAAACTTAATTTTCTTTACTATTAAGATGAATATAAAATTTTGGCTACTAAGTAATACTAATGTACTTTAATCTCTTGGAAAATATATCTGTAATAAACTCATAGTACAATCCCTTCGGTGGATCCTAGGATCCATATGTGACTTCCTCCTCCTAGTACAGGGACACCCCCCTTGGAGAGCCCCCATCCAAGAATTCCATTAAGAATTAGGCTTCTTGCCTAGACTTTTAAGTTAGGACGTTCACCTCAATTTAAGAGACTCAGGTAGTTAATATCTGACATACAGACTGAGCATACTCATTAGCACTAACCACACATTGCTATTTTTAAGTGAAAAAGAACAGAAAATCATGCTTAAAATAAAAGGGATGGGTAATTAGCATATAAAATTCACATACTCACATCTACAAGCCAAATGTCATCTTTTCGATTTTCTTTAAACCTAAAAAACAAAATGAACAATCTTTGATTCTATGTTTGCATTGACTTTAAAAATGTACAGTACAGGAGGGGATAATAAACTGACAAACGGGCACATGGCAAATCACTTCAACAAACTGCTGTGACTTTTCACCTACTGTCCTTGGAATCTTATCCTTTAATATATATTAAGTACAGAGGTAAAGATCAAACACAAAAATATTAGGAAAAAAAAATTTTAAATGAAAGTGTATTGCTACAATCACAGTTAGCTCCTTTATCCACGGATCCCATAGCAAAGAAAAAAAAAAATAACAAAAATCAGTAACAAAAAAAAAAAAATCAAGCTGTACCAAACATGTGTAGCCCTTCTTGTCATTACCCCTGAACAATACAGCTAGCAATTCTTCATACAGTAATCAGTAATCGTACTGCATTATTAGGTAAACAGGTAAACATATTAGGTAAACATAACCTATACAGTGACTTAAAGCATATAGAATATGGGAAGATTATATATAATGCCTTTTTTTAAGATTTATTTTTATTGGAAAGTTAGATTTGCACAGAGCAGGAAAGACAAAGATCTTCCATCCACTAATTCCCTCCACAAGTGGTCGCAGCAGCCAGAGCTGAGCCAATCCAGAGCCAGGAGTTTCTTCCGGGTCTCCCACGCAGGTGTAGAGTCCCAAGGCCTTGGGCCGTCCTCTACTGCTTTCCCAGGCCACAGGCAGGGAGCTGGATGGGAAGTGGGGCCACCAAGACATAAAATGGTGCCCATATGGGATCCTGGTTGTGTACAAAGTAAGGACTTTAGCCACTAGGCTACCACACTGCACCGGGCCCTCCATAATGCCATTTTTAAAGGTATTTGGGCATTCACACATTCTGACATCCACAGAAAGTCCTACAATCAACCCCCACGAATGCTGTGGGGCATCTCCATCTCCTTAACTCTGCAATCTGCTGCTGCTTCTTATACTTGTGCAGGAAAGTTAACGTGCCAGGTCCAAGACCTGTTTGCCAGACTGGCCCTTGGTTGACATCCAGAAACCTAGGTTTTAGGATGGCTCCCATCACATGTGGTAAAGATGGCTCTGTTTTTGTAAAACACTGGTGAGAAGTACCCAACCACGGAACAGAGGCAGAGATCCCTGCAGCACTGACCTGAGAGAGTAAGTCAACGGAGAGAGTAAGCCACAAGCTGTTCAGTCCTCAGCACTCTGGATTCAGACAGGACCCAGCGAACAGAGGAATTCACTGTCATCTCCGAGGCTGGCCACTGACACACTGCGCTGAAAATCCAGGGGCCTCAGCGGATGCAGCCTTCCAATCGTTACGTCCTCTGTCAGAGGTTATCTTTACATCCTTACTATATATACTTATGTCAGATGGTGGCCAAGTCAGAAAACGTGTGGAGATGGCTACACTAAATCCGGGAAAGGATCGACTACAGGGAGGACCCACGGGAAGACTACAGACAGCAAGAGGGAGCCAGTGTGTTCTGCCTGCTGAAAATATCCTACAGCTGGGGGAAGACCCTGGGCTGTGCTTTGTCCTTGGCCTCTGTTACCCGGATGGTTAATCGGCACTCCTTTTCATGCTGTCTTCGGGGACTGGAGCACTAGCAGATTGTGCTCTGCCCATGATCATGCCAAAGCAACTAGCTGCACATCTGCCAGCTCTGGGATGAAGAACCATTCAGTCTCCACATGTAGCTGACAATCATGTTATGTCAATGGTCTCCCTTTCAACACAGGGCCATTCTGGTAAGTATGCAAATGACTGACAAAACCGTTACTTTGGGCCAGCACTGTGGTATACCAGTCTAAGCTAGCGCCTGCGATGCCCACATTCCATTCGGGCACTGGGAATGCAGTCCTCACAGCACCGTTTCTGATCTCGCTCTCTCCTACTGGCCTGGGCAAAGCAGCACAAGATGGCCCAAGCGTTGAGGTCCCTGTCACCAACATGGGATGAAACTTCTGGCTTCATCCTGGCTCAGCCCTGGCCACTGAGGCAATGTGGAGAGACAACCAAGGGACTAAGATCTCTCTCTGTTACTCTACTAAATAAATACATAAATATATGAGTATTAACAGTAGTACCCCTTCCTTCTCCTCCTCCACCAGCAGTCTACACTTGGGTGAAGCTTTGAGCCAACACACCCAACAAGGCACTGCTGGCTGAACAAGAGTAGCTGCTCTCTCACAACGGCTTCCTCTGCAGGTGCTGTAAATGATCAGCTCCCGCTGCACAGGACCCAAAAGCACCACAAGCACCCATGGGACCTTCAGGGAGCACTGATTTAAGCCATGTCCTGCTCTAGATGGCGAGCCAAGGTGAGGGGCTCAGCTGGAATCATCAAGTCGGTGTTCCCTGTGGTGGTGTTCCTTAGGAGACACAGGAGAGGCCGGGCTCTCAGCAGCCGCTACTTCTCCCTGGAGCAGCAGCACCAGGAAGACTCAGGTGGATCCAGCAGAGAGAAACTTCCTCGCTCAGAGCTAACACCGAACAAAAGGGTTGTCCCTCCGTGTCGGGGAGTACAACCAAAAGGCCACAGCAGGAACAAAGCTTCTGCTAATGCTTTCAGCACGAAGTTTCAGCAGAAGTGTCCGGGCAATGCTGAAGTGAGCTCCCCAACAGGAAACCTCCAAATGAAGGCAAGCACACTGCAGGGCAGACAAGCAGGGAACACGCTGGCCTGGGGTCTCGGACCTTGACCAGCATCCCCCCAGAACCCACACTGCCTGGCTGTGCATCCAGGCCAGGGGGAACAGCCACAGCCACACACAGGATTCTGGTCTGCAGAAATCCCTCCCCTTCAGTACTGGGATACCATGACGATGCCTACAGCATGCTGACCAAACCACTGCACTGCTCGGTGTGATTCAATCAAAAATGTGATGGCAAATGATGGCAAAGAATACAGAAGATTCAGCAAGATCTGATAAGATGAGTAAAACTCTTTGGGGCACACACTCATTTCTTACTTCTACACAACTTAGAACACGTGAAACAAAATAAGTGACAGAAAAGCAGTGGTCAGTCCTATTACTGAGATGAGATTCATGTTAATATTCCACAAACATAAAGTTAAAATGATAAATATGTATATATATGTACACACTCACGATTCATCTAAATCTTCCACAAATCCTTTACAGAAAGCCACATCAAGTAAAACGACTGGAAAACAAGAAGGGAAAAAACCAAAATGTAAACAAATGTTGATTTATCCATTTGGCTTGTCCTGTCTGCTTAGTCACCCCCAGAACAGTTTCTTCATCACGGACTGACGCCAGGAGACAGGTGCTGGCAAGGCACAGCGACCATTCGCATCGCATGCAACCCTGCGACTGTCAAGTCACACCGAGGTGGGCGCTTAAACCTAACGCATACAGGTCCTTTCTTCAGCATATTTCCACCATCGTTTTTCCTCCTGGCCAATGGGGCTTTGTGGAGAACACACGAGTTGTTCTCCCACAAAGCAGGGCCCGGCGCACGGTGGCTCGAAAGGGATGCGGGGTGTTGAGCAGGCGGCCCCCCTGGGAGCCCCTCTCAGCCCGTCCCGGCCGACTGACCCTCGTGCGCCCCTGACCACCCCTCCCTCAGGCCAGGGGCTAAACATCCTCCAAACCTGGGGCCGAGGCGAGACCCGGCCGTCCACCTGCACGCCTGCATCCCGCCCGCGCACCCACGCAGCCCGCAACACGCAAACTTCCTTCCTCGGGCGGGAGCGGCCGCGGCTTGCCCACGCCTGGCCCGGGGTCCCCCGCGCGAGCTGTCCACTCGGCCAGGTCCCTGGGGGAAGCCGAGGGCGACCGCGCGGGAGGAGGCCGGAGCGCAGACCCCGCCCCGAGCGGCCTGACGACCCCTGCCCGGTCCCCACGCGGGCAGCGCCTCCGCAAGCTCGTTACCTGTGGCGCAGAGCCGGAGGGCGGCCCGGCTTCTCCGACCGGCCATGCTCGCCACGGAGAACCGCAGGAACCGGCCCGGCCGCGGGAGAGACTCCGGCGCTCGCCGCCCGCCCGCCGGAAGGGGAAGGGAAGTCGGCCTCGGCGCGGACGGGGCGGGGCAGGCCGGCCTCCGCCACCCGCCCAGGGCCCGCCGCCCGTCCGATCGGAGCATGCGCGGGAGCGCCGTGCCTGCGCACTGGCGTCCTCGCGCCTCGCGGGGCGTGGGCACGGGGAGCCGGTGAGGGAGGCCTGAGTGGTCGTGGGTCGGGCGTTAGGGCGGGGGGCTTCAGGGAGGGTAGAGACCAGCCCGAGTTAGTCCTGAAGGCCAGAAAGGCCGGAGTCGTGCTCCTCGCTTGCGTGGACATTCCGCGTAGTCAGAGAAAGACCTGAATGACGGGGCCATGGGAGCCCCCGCTTGTTTCCCAGCTAGGGATTCGGGGTCCTCTTTGAACCTATTCCAAATTGGGGGGTCTCCCTTACACGGGCTTTGGCTCACTGAAGGAATCCCTCCTTAAAGACTGTCTTGAAGCCTGAGAAGATCAGGTTGGTTTTGTTTGGGCGGTAGAGGGGAGAGGATTTTTATTTGTACTCTGCTCATTGGAGGAGTAAATGGTTACTGTGGAATAAATAACTACTTGTGTCCGCAGCCCAGCGATGTATAAACAACAACCGTTCTTCATGACGTTTTCTGCATGCATTGTGTCTGACGTAGATGCAGATCTTATGGGACATCAGGGAACCAGAGGATGCAAGTTTTAAAAATTCTTGAAAAATACGTAAGAACAGAAAGCGATTATGATGTCAGCTGCTTTACCCGACCTTCGGCGTTCCAACAGGTGGGATTTCCTGACGACGTGATTCCTGGTGACTGGAAGACAAACAGCCAGTTCCAGGTCTCACACCTGGGTGCTGGGGCGGCCCCTGGCCAGGGCAGCCCTCCCCAGCATCCTTTTCTAAGTTGAAAAATACACTTTCATGTCATAAGCTTGTTAATTAGTAATGTAGGAATTTTTTTCTCCTTTGTCGATAAGATCTGTGGCTAATCTGACTCCATTTATTATTCCTTCATTCTCCCCTAGTGCATGTAAAAGAAAAAAAACAGTCTTTAAAATTTGTATTACACATAAGTATGTGGAGAATCACAAAGCAGTCTGGTTTCTTAAGGCTTGTAGCCAGTAGACAAGCCCTTGAGCTCCTGAAACGCAGGTGCTATCACAGTGGAACTGAGTACTTACTAAACTGAAACAATGCTATTCAGGGGCCGGTGCAAGGGCGGAGCTGGGGCCTAACATGCTAACCGACTGCCTTGCCTGCGGCACCCCATATGGGCAGAGGCCTGGCTGCTCCACTACCAGTCTCCCTGCTTATGGGCTGGGAAAGACCTTGAGGACGACCCAAGGCTGTGGATTCCTGCACTCACGTGGGAGACCCAGAAGAAGCTCCTGGCTGCCAGCTTCTGACCAGTCCAGCTCTAGCCACTGTGGCCATTTGGGGGATGAACTAGGGGGTGAAAATTTCTCTCTCTCTCTCTCTCTCTCTCTCTCTCTCTCTCTCTCTCTGTAACCCTTTCAAATAAAAAAAATGGAACAAAGTCCTTTCAAAAAATTAACATTTCAGTCAATCATTCAGAAACTTTTAGAAGTGTCTGAAAAGCCCAGATGTGTAATTGACTTTTTCAATCACATTTAATGAGACGTAAAGACTGATTGAGTACTGCTAATGAATTTGAACTCTTGTAGTGGGAGATATACATAATATGGAGTTTGAAAACAACCTAAAAACATAAAATGTATCAATTAGAGTGAGATTGATGACTTCGCCTTTGGTCTTCCTGGGAATCACGAACATTCCACTATTTGCGTTTACAACTGGGAAAATATCTCAAAGACAGGAGAGACTTCACTTCAGCGCCCTGCTTTCATCTATCTTATCCACGTGTCGGTGGCTCTTGATCCAAGAAATTATGTACATACACTCATGACTCATCAAAATTAAATAGATTCTTCCGTGTGTGTCTAAACTCCTTGCTGGGAAATGGCTCTTCCCAGACAGCAGTGTCCTTGTTTCAATAGTTTTGCTATTCTGCCTCCCTTTTCTGCACTATATTGCACAGGTGTAGCACTGTTATCTGGAGTCTTGCAAGTCATTTTTCAGCAGTTGAACTATTTCAGTAATGTTGGCATTAAAAACGAGATTACTTTGAAGAATCTTGACACATTTTTGCTGAAAATATGAGCTAGACAATATTCAGAAAAAAAATGGATGCCTCTGATGAACTGGATTAAAAATAATGTTGATGAAGTGAACTGTTAACAGAGCAGTTGATGCTAATCCATGCACAACTCAAAACAGCAGAGGTTTGGACGTCCGTTGCTGAAGATAAGACTTCATTTCAATCCAGAACTGATGAACCTGGACTCCACAAGCTAGGGACAAGGGCGAACAGAGGGCAGGTCGACTGAAACTCTGGCTTTGAAATTTAACAAAGCTTCTTCATTGAGCTTCATCTATTGTGACTGGCAATTGGGTCCCAGCCAAAGAAACCTATGCATTGTATCTTTGGAGGGATCAACTAAGCTTTTAAGCCTACCCAGAGCCAGCACCGTGATCCAACAGGGCAAGGTGGCCATGGGCAGTAACACCGCCATGGTAAGGGATTATTTACCGGAGCAGAAGCGCTTTGTGGAATGTCACAGCAGTGTCCTGTCCGACTTGTGTAAAAGCTCCTAACAGTCTCAGCATCATTGTTGCAGGCTTTAAACACTCCTGAGTGCAGAGGGAAATCTGCACCCATTTTGGATCCTCCTTTATCTGAAATCTTAATCTATTTTCTATTGCTAATAACCTAATACCACAGACTGGATAGTTCTGGGGAAAAGAGCTTTATAGCTACTCCACTCCAGCCGAAGGACACAGGGCTGTGTCTGCTGGCACCATCCTCAGGCAGAGACTAGGTGGCACAAAGCAAGGCATGGTGAGAGACCTAAGCTCCCTGGCTTTTATAGCAGGGCCATGCTCAGAAAAGTCCACCCATCTGATGTGTGACTATCCCATTTATGACAGCACAGCTCAGAGTGACATTAGAAGCAGGACACTGGCAAGGGAGAGCTGAGGATGCCAGCGCTCTGCAGCCCTGCCTGGATGAAGGGAGGCGGGGGTCATTCCCAGAGAAGAGGGGTCGTTGCTGCCCCCCCCCCCCGCCGCTTGTGATTTGGGTATGCTTCTGAAGCAGCACAAAGCCTGCTGAGGCAGGCGGCCCTGAGCTGACACGGTGACAATGAAATAAGCTCCCTTTGACGTGGTGATAAAAGCAGCCCCAGGACTATGGACACAACGCGTGATTTTGCTTTTGTGACCTAAAAAGGGATATCAAAGAGGTGTTTGGGGATCTTTAATCCCAGCTTAAGATAATAGAAAAATAGGCCCAGCCAGTTTCTCTGACCCAGGGCACACGAGGCCAGAACACAATATCAGAAGCCTCTTCTTCGCTGTGCAAACTCTGGGAGATGACTTGCTTCAGGCTCGCATGACCTGCTGTCTGGACAGGGCTCAAGGTGTTGTTGCAAGACTAAGGCCTCTCTCCCCAGCTCTCGCTGCTGGCTGATGGTGGCTCTCAGCTTCTAGAAGCTGACTGCAGACTCTGTGAGTGTGGCTTCACGGCCCAGCCAGACCAGCCCTTCCGCCTCAGACCTCTCTAACTGCCGCTTTTGCTACAATTCCCTAATTCTTCCTTCTACCTCTTCTGTTTGAAGGGCTCATGTGGTCACCTTGGGCTCACAGGATAACCTTGCTTTCCTTCTGTATTTAAAAAAAATTTTTTTATTGGATAGTCAGGGAAGAAGAGAGACAGAGAGGAAGATCGTCTATCTGTTGATTCATTCCCCAAGTGGCCACACTAGCTGAAGCTGTGTTAATCTGAAGCCAGGAGCCAGGAGCTTTTTCCAGGTCTCCCTTACAGGTGCAGGGTCCCAAGGTGTTGGGCCATCCTCAACTGCTTTCCCAGGCCGCAGGCAGGGAGCTGGATGGGAAGCAGAGCCACCAGAATTAAAAGCGGCACCCATAGAGGACCCAGGTGCTTGCAAGGCCAGGCCTTTAGCTGCTAGGCTACTGCACCAGACCTCTCCTGTATTTTAAAAGTCAGATGGTAGTTATCCTTAATCTGTCTTCAAAGACTCTTCCAAACAGTGAGTGGGTTAGTTTCCTAAGAAATGAGCAGAACATGGGAACCTGAGAATCCTGCCTACCGCAGACAGGGATGGAACAAGAAGGAAAACAAGAAGTGTAGGTGCTCCTGATCTAATCTCTCTGAGCATCAAGGCCTTTGACCGCTGTGTGGGAGAGATCGCCCGGAGGGGCAGAAGCAGCTGGGTAGACCTGTTGGCCACAGGAGCACTGCTTGAGCCTGCCTAGTGAGTCCCTTAGGGATGGCAGAATGAATCTAGGGAAACAGGGAGATGCTACAGCAACAGGAACCAAGACTAAAATTCCATTAAAGGTTAAGGTATAATTTTAAAAGTATGCTTTTAAAAGTGTCCTTGCCTGCCTTATCAGAATTATAATTGGCATAGGTATTGTGGTTGACTGAAAACTATTCCGCCTACAATGAGAAATAATTTGTAGATTTATTTTTCAATTGATATTAATTGGGTATGAAAATATAGAAGCTGCTATATTTACTTAAGACTACTCAAATAGTGAAGTTTAGGTTTTGTCACATACTAGTGGCAACAAAAATGAATATCCTAATTAAGAAAATGTTAGATTCAGATGTGTTTGCTTCTGCTAACTCATTGTAGGATAACCTAGCATTGCTAGTGAGGAAGACTACTATATCATGGATACTAACAGTGACTTCTGGGCATTCCATTAAGCCATAGGTGCTTCAGCACTCTTTAATAAGATCCTTATTCTTCAAAGGCTAAACAGACTAGTTGATAAGCGAAAGGTTACTGGTTTTGTATCCTAACCTGGATGCCTTCTTAAAATATTTGTTGCTAGAGATGGCCAAGTGCAATATGCCTGAGTATAGCATAGTTTCCAACCAACACTTGCCTCAAGGATGTTTAAACTCCCCCAAACACTGAAGTGATCCGAGAAGGCAGA